TGCGCCTCGCGCGTACATACCTGCGAGGTCGAACAACAGACGTCACAGAGCGTCGAGTGATTACGAGCACCCCCACTCATCCTGCCTGCCCAACTGAGGTGGGCCTTCTTTCAGTCGACAGCAACCCTTATATTTTACAGAGTGTTAGTAGACAGAATTCAACTCCGCTTGCTCCCCGCACGCCAATTGAATGATCTCACACGTCGGAAAAGGTTTTCATCCACGCATGCGGTGTGGACTTTTCGAAGTTACAAATGGTCTCGCTGTTCTTGCACGTCCCGTGACTGAGCATTTGGAAATCAGTGTATGCAAATATTTTCCCATCTCGTATCGAAGCTCACGACGCGAATTGGCGATCACCGTTCGTTAGTAATTGTATATTTACGTGACAATACATGATACCGAAAACTCCTCGAAACCAAATGCTTGCACCGGCCTGGCACCTGTCTTCTCGTACCGGCACTTTTGAGGTTCACTCTTTTTGTCAACCTTGACTGGCGAGAAATCAGTCTCAACATCACTGTGCAGCCGTAACGAATGAAAGCAAGCGGCAGAGGGAAGGGGGGCTAGCGCCATTTTCCTCTATCGCAAATTGGGAATAGCTCATTTGGTTGGGATGGCGACCCCCTGCCGAATCCGCTTTTCTTGTTGTCTCGTTGAGGTGTTCTTGCTAATGGCATTCAGACAGAATTGCCATCCCACCTGTCGCCCGACACATTGGCGGTACGTACCTGCCTCTGAGAGACAGGGACAATGCCCCCAACTGCTGTGCCCTGTACCCTGCCCACAACTGCCACCAATGACGCACGCACAAAGAACATGGCGTTCACGACAACTCCGCTGGAAGGTGACAACCAGCACTTTGCACCACCTCGGGATTTGCCCCCGGCGTTCAGAATCACACACAGCATCATGATTACTGCAGGGCAGAAAACATATCACAAGCTCACAAGTAGTGTAGACGGGAAGTTTGGGCATTTTGAAAATGGTGGGCAGAAGAGGCGGCCACAGCAACCAAGTACCTAGATAGCAAGGCCCGAAGATTTGGAAAGCTATGATGATGAGGATGCTGAAACCACAGACATGGACCGGGCATTTGGAGTCGTGTGTGCGTGTAGCTGGGACGAATCTTGCGTCAAATGCAATCCCGTCATCCGGTCGTCGAGGTTGTCAAGCTGCGAGTGGGAATGGCTGCTCCCGCCCCGTACATCCCGGCTTCGTTCCACGTCGAGCGTCAATTGTCAAGCGTCCATCCTGCTTCCAAATCTCACCGTCGTCAGAGCGCTGTGTGTGAGCTGATACCTTAGCCGGGGCATGTGTGTCTCCATTCCGACCCCCAATCACCTATTCAGAACATAACTGGAAGGCGAGACAGTCAACCGGTTCCTGAGAATCCTGACAATGATCGATTGTGGAGGAGGGTAACGAGGAGCCCCCGTCCGGATGGTCAGCATGAATTCACACTGCGACAGTACGGTATGGTCCATGTCGAGTCAGCCACACAGTGTCAGATCACGGCTGCCGAGTCCGTCTCCCAGACCCTGCAGAAAAGAAAAACAACAAACCTCCTCCCGCCAAGTACCTATATCCACATGCCTACACACATACCTTTGCACTCAGCGCTGCACTGCATCTTGTCGGCAGGGACCCAGCGCGAGATGGAGGCCGTTGTGCTGCTGCTACCGAGTTGCATACTGTACTCTCCAACCGAATCCCAATTCATCTCGAGAACAATGGAAGCAACGAAAGAATGAATGGATATAAGGAAAAAAACAACTTGAGAGTTTCCTCCTCCGCGCATATCCGGCAATAGCATCTTTTGACAGCAAGAGCGGGGGCTGCCAGAAGCGACACACCACCCGCGGGGCCTTCAGCCTTTTGCTCCCGTCACTTGGCATTGTTATCATCAACCGTTGCCCGACCCTGAAGAGCCTTCACGAGTGTTGAAACGGCTCCTTGTGTGAATCAATTCCGAAAAGGTTGAACGCAATTTTGCGAGTGCTATTTGCATCTCTCCAAGTATTTCGCATCCTTGCCCTGTGGGAGCCAGCCTGCCCCCATTCACTTAAAAGCCACCCCCCTGTTCCTTCCTCCCTCTTTCCCCCTCCCCCCTCCCAGGCAGTCCCATCTTGCCCCCCAACCCTTGCCGTTGTGTACAAGGACAATCTACCCAGGTACCAGCCATACCGAGCCTTCCTTCCTTCCAACCCATCCCCAACCTTGAACTGGAGCAGGTGTGTGGCCAAGAGTGTGGGCTTGCGGTTGCCCCGTCTGGCTAGGTACTCAGGTTTGGGCTTTCCCATTCAAGGGAAACGGCATCCCTTGGGGCGGGTGAAGGAAAGCTCACTTCACTTCTGTTAAAGCTTGGCCAACCCTCCGCCTTGTCCAGCAGACTGGCTTCCTCCGTTTTCCACAGTAATAGAGACGAGACATCTCATCAAACCAACTAAATCAAAGGCTGACGGAGCAAGAACTTTAGCGCAAGTACACGCAGTCAACCTACAACACTCTAAACACTTGGACCACTCACACCCGACACCACTGCAACTATCGCGCAATCATCTGTCCTGAAAAATCTTTGACCGTCGATTTCCCGGACACATCAGGGCACAAAGCCAGCAACCGTAATCACCGGTTCCTGTCGAGCAGCAACAGATCTTCCCCCTTCACATCCATACGAGATCCTTACAACATCCATACAAGTCTTCACAGGGGGCCGATCTTGTCCACTTCCTCTCTTCCGCCCTCCCGCCTGTCCCAAACTGAGCTGAGAGCAGGCCCTGTTCCTCTGGTCAAGCACTGTCAAGCCGCCAGACAAGTAGACCAACGTCAGCCCTGAACCCCTGTCCTCTGTCCTGTCCTCTTTTCTACACAGTAGCAACAAGAGGCACCGCGGACGACAAGACCGCCCTGTCTCGCCTGCATCATTGGGTGAACCCTGTCTCCTCAACGTCCCTGCTAGGGCCCCTTGGACCGGGAGATTCCACCGTCGATCAATCTCGCCCGAGGTCGTCACAGAATACCTAGCTCTGAAGCCGTCTCCACCTGTCCCGCTGACCAAGGAGACAATACCGTTCACTTGACTTTGGGTTCGCTGCTCTGAAGTGGACGCATACCCGATTGGCTCTAGCCTGCAGTTTGGTGCTCCCCATTATTCCCAGGGCTGCTCGCATGCCATCTGAGCTTCCCAGACCCCCAAGAACACTTAAGGTCGCTGATCCCTCCTTGTCAACTCGTGGTCCGATCTTCTCTCGACATTCGACCCGACTAAAAGGATCCTGCGTTTGATCAGCAACAACTACATACATACTTAGCACTCTCGACAAACACCTTCAACTCTTCTCCTCCCCAAGTCAAGTTCAACAGTCCACCTCACCAACAAGACTGGGAAGGACACACACAGCACTCGGTTGCACACACAAAACCCCAATGATGATGACCATAGACGCCAACCAGCACCGATTTGCACCGCTAAACTACGACCACATGTCTTATCAATCCAACCAGCCACACTTCACCAACCCTTGGGGTTCGTCTTCGGGTCCTGGAGGCCCGCCTCCTCCCCAGCAGCCCGCTCCCCAGAACATGTACATCAACAACCGTGACAGCGCCGGCTTGCCGCACCTCAACCTCGCTGCACTCCCCAAGCGTCAGCACGATGTCAGGAGCGGAAGTGTGTGGCCTCATCAACCTACTGCTCCCGGCCCTGTCACAACTGTGCCAGCAGGTAGCGCCCCCATGGCGGATGTCTATAGGCAGCAGGACTTGCTCTCTATGCCCCAAGACCACCTCCTAGGTCTCAACCGCATGCCCCACCCAACCACATCGACAGCATATGATACCTCCGCCTACACCACATCTGCTTCCCCCGTTAGCACCAGCTATCCCCCTTCGACATCACAGTATGAGCTCGGCTACCCACCTGCCACCATGAGGGGTGCCTTTGGCATGGCTGCTGATGACACTGCGAGAAGGTACTCACAGCAGTAAGTACCACTTTCGCTTGATGCTTTACATCGTACAGATGCTAACCCGCACAACCAGGGGAATTCAACCTGATGATCGGAGAAGCTTCCAAGATGCGCTTGAGGCTAGCCAAGGCATGCTTACCATGAGCCAAGAGACACCAAGGAATATCTACGATGTGCGAAACCGTGCTAGGGGCTCTACCGACTCGTACGGCTTCCCCCAGACGCACTCCACAGGTTCTAGCGTTTCTTCTGCGAGCTATGGGTACTATGGCAGTTCAGTTGATGGGTCAATCAGCGATTACTCGACCGCGGGCTCTGACATTGAGTCGCTCTCGGGCCGGACACTTCCTCGCCCTCAAGGCTTGATGTCGAGCCAGCCCCCGGCACCGCAGTCTATGATGGGCTCCTTCAGCTCCAAGGTGTCGACAAGTACTTCCAAGAAGCACAAGTGCAAGGTTTGCGACAAGCGATTCACACGGCCTAGCTCACTCCAGACCCACATGTATAGCCACACTGGTGAAAAGCGTAAGGACTCCTCCATAACGTAGTTCGAGGTTTGGCGCCTGCTAACATTTTTCATAGCCTTCCACTGCGAAGTTGAGGGATGCGGTCGCCAATTCTCAGTTGTCTCTAACCTCAGGAGACACAAGAAAGTCCACAAGCCTCAGAGCGAGACGCCATCTGAGACTGGTTCCGAAGCGGATCAGCACTCGGAATAAACTTTCGGATGCATCTCGCGGAACTCTTCTTTTTTTTCTTTACATCATGCCCCTCGATAGACTACACACTTTAATTCTCAACATTCGCTACATGTAACACTATCGGCACCGGAGAACCTCGGCATATTACACCACGGTCTACATCGATCCCGGAAAAAAATGGATTCGAAAATCGACATAAACAATTGCGGCTCGCTACCGCCTACCAAGTACACGAATGGGGTCGGCGGTACCCGCTTCGCATCTCATAGACTTACGTTCTCACAAGGAGGGGCAGCAGGCGATCCCTCCATCATTCCCTGCTGTCGGTCATTGGCAGCAGAGGCGCTCGGCGTTGGATTTCAGGTAGACGAGATTTGTCGATCACAACAAGCAAGCTGCCCCACATGGACCGCCAACCGCGGGGAGCTGGCCAGCATCTTTTAATCGTTTGATTTTGGGTTCATTCGTTGATTGCGTGGGGAAAGAACGGGGAAGATACCAAAGGGGGTCATCATCCAAGGGTGGTTGCGAAATGAAAGGGCGCCGTTTCCACGGGGACCACAGATCTCATGAACCGGCGTTTCGGTGGACATTGCTTTTCAGATTTTTTGATTTTTTTTGTTGCATCAGGGAATGCTTTTTCTCTACTGTCGTTTAAAGAGATACACCCACACAGGCTTGGTTGGAAATGGTTTTCGGTTTCGGTTGGTCAATCAGGGGTTTTTCCATTATCATCGCATCATTGTCATTTGATCAGGGCAAGAAGAAGAATACCCATCGTTGGACATATTTGATTGGCCTATCGGAAGGAGGGAAGGGGAAACAGGCTCGGTAGATACCACTATATGGGACGACTTCAAAAGGATGTTACAAAGAGCGGAAGGAACATTCATGTATCATCTAAGCTCAGACACATTGCGAAACCTAATTATGTACTACTACAACTATCAAACTTGTCACTACCAAGCACAGTAATGTTTCCCAAAAGAGGTCCTCCATGGTGAATGTGTCAGTATTCCCAAAACAATCCTCCTCAATGGCCCGATGGCGAGTTTGCCTTTTCTCGAGTTCTCCATGTCTTGTCTTTCCATCAAGAATATCTGCCTCCAATGAAAGCACATAACGAAGACACACACAAATCCTGTCGTCCAATCAATATGCCTCCACCTAAAGCGATATTACAAGCAGCTAAACAGCATAGCCGTCCGTTTCAAATTTGAATTGCCCATTTAGGTTCTGCTTTCCCCATACTTTTCTTTTAACCATATTGTAACCCTTCAGTCCTACCCTAACTTTGACTGACTCGCTTGACTCACTTGAACTGCTGGCACGGATAGACCGTGCAAGGTAGAGGGAAGAAATTCGGACGTCACATTGTAGTGGTTGCTGCTTAGACTAGCCCCCAGGTTTATTTTTTTCTTACTGCTGGTCCTAGCTTTCCCACTCTCTTCCCGTGAACATCTCAATTTCAGTCTCACAATTTCCTGATAAAGCCAACGGAGCTATCAGGATTAAACAAGGTTCGGGAAGGCCGTGTAAATCCTTTTCTTGATAAAGCTTAGCATGGCATTCACATCAAGGCTTGTGCTAACTACATTGACCGGAATAGGGGGCCCACAACAATTTCAGGAGAAGGCATCGGGATACCCAGACAGGGAAGAGGACAGAATCCAGATGATGGAGAAAGGAGGAGAAGAAGGAGGCTGAGTCGGGCACATCTACTCGATCTGGTACCGAAGCCACCGAACCAACGAAGCCAAGTTGAGAAGCTCCACGCATACAGGCATACCTGGATGCGAGACAGGGGACGGAAGGGGAGAGGGGAGGAGGGAGAGACAGACACGGAAGATCCGGGCGTTGAGAGGGCAGGTTGCATTGCGTGCTTTCCCCCCATTCCCCGTCTTCGGTGGAGGACGAGTGTCAAGCTCAGCAGAGGCAGGGCGCACTATGTGAGGAGATCACGGTGCGAGAGGGAGTCGGACTCAAGCCCGAATCGACGCATGTTTTGAATGCTGACTGGCCCAAATAGGAACCGCGATCACGTTTCACACACAAACATCAACTCCATCAATGCATATTCCGCCCATACAGGAGATAAGAGAGGGCCGTCCGTGTATATGCTGTGCTCAAAAGGGAAAGCGGAGGGAAGGCAAGGTGTGAGAGAATGTGTGTGATCGTCGCCACATGTCTCTTATTGCCTGGTTGTCCACGAAGCAACACGCTTCCATTTGCCTGGCTTCTATGCCCATCGATCTCTGGGGTTTGTGCTTGCATATGAGATGGATCTCTTTCTAACGAGACAAACATCTGGTACCAGCTGAATTGCCCGACGAGCGGGGGAGAGGCGAAAAAGGGGCAGTCCCACGGTAATGGTGGATACACGTGAGAGTGTTTCTGTACAGCAAGGCATATTGCAAATGAAATACGGACGCAGTGTGGATGGGTGGATGGATGATGGATGGTGCACGAGCGAAGCGTGCTTCTGTGTGATGAGGTATGCATATCCATCTCACAACAACACGTATGAACCCGGTAAGTGCTTCGTTTAGACACCTGTCCAAGACAACGCCTTATTAACAGCAACGTGCCGGACAAAGGCAGCGAACGACCAGGACTTGAGGCGGACGACAGCGGGATGGCATGAGAGATGGATGAGATTGAATTCTTGAGATGGAAATGACATGAGATGGCATGAGATGACATGAGATGACATGGGCTGGAGAGTCCCTGGAGGGTTGTCTCAAAGCACCCGACGACTAGCACCCCGACACCGCCGTCCCATGGCCGTGACCGCTTGGTCCGCGGCATACCGCACCGCTCCGTGGAAGCACCGCACAGGACACATCCAAGGACGACAACCAGCGCCCGACGCGCTTGCATGACCCTGTTGCTGGCGTGTCCTTACTCGTGCAGGCAAGGGAGGAGCTCTCAGCAGGTGATGGGCCGTGGTGGAGTAAGTTATGGGTAAGCCCCAGTCTTAAGGACCTTGATGGCCTCGTTTCAGATTGTGCAAATCAGTTCCTTTGATGGAGAAGAGGCAGATGTGACGGGCCATGTAGGGCGGGGATTCCATGTCGATAGACCATGATGGATGGTGAAGAAAAGCTTGACTGGACGGGGTGTATGGGGAGATTCTGATCATTTGCCCGGACGGGCAAGTGCTTTCGAAAGAGCCGTACCGAGGCGGTGCGTCGGCCGGCGGAAAGCTGGACGGTCGAGTATGGAAGCGGTGGTGATCGGCGGGCATACAGATTCGGAGTGGGGATGGACAGAGCCAAACTGGGGAAATGGAACTGAGAAGGTTCAAGGAACCGGGCGAGGTTCGGTAATGGCTTCTCCTGGCTTTTTTTTCTCTTGAATTAGCACAGAATTAGCACGTGCCATGTAACGAGAAGGGCAGGAAGGGATTGAAGGGGTTCGAGTGATGATCGGCTCCTTTGTCTATGGACCCTCTCAACCTCTTCTGGTCAGCGTCTGGGATGCCTTCACCAAGGCACCGGACAGATGTCTTAGCACCTAGTGGAGAGGCATTACGTCGTTAAGCTCACGGCGTTGGATATGGTGACGGCATGCGGGCGTCTCCAAGTTGGCATAGCACAGGCTGATAGCTGGCAGGCTGATAGAAAAGAGAATGAGCTGGTTTCAGGGCCCGGGTTGTTGGCAAGCAAGGTAAGTTGGCGCAGGGAGAAATCCTATTCGACATTGGAGTCTGGGTTGCATGTCTTCCGTCCGCTCTCCTTGCTTTCCTTGGTTTGAGCGAGGCTGGGATGCGAGGGGGAGGGGCCAGGAGAGGGGCAAGGAGCCAAGAGGGGCCAGGAGGAAGTCGCAACCATCCACGCCTTCCACGTTGGACGGCTTTGAGGTTCGGCTCACTGGGAAAGGCGGGTCAAAAACGGGGGAAGGAGCACGCATTACCGTGTTTTGGGAAGGAACCTGCGACCTATGTCGTCAACATCATGTATTTGCTGAACAGAAGACGGCACCGAGCATGATGAACTGTTGACGAAGCTGTGGCTCCTTGGTGAAACGACCGTCAGAAACTCGTATAGGAGACGGTATTAGCAGGCAACCAGCGACCACAAAACCCGCAGACTGGAGATAGTACTGTAACAGTACTATACGTAATTGGGTAACTGAGAACCGACGCTGTTTGGCCGGGTTGGGCGCCACATGGCTGGCTACTTACATACTCGCACCGTCACAGTTGGGCTGGTCGAGAGTAAGATCATTAATATTGTCAACACCCGTACCCGTCGGTGTCCGGCAATTTTTCTACACTAATCGTGTCGTTAAGACCCGCCAATGACGTCGGTCGTCAGCAACCGAGCCTGGCTCCCGCGGTAGTTGCGGCGGCGGCGGCGGCACAGAGTGGTTAAGGTGGCCAGTTAAGCACGCAGGCACGATATTAGCTGGCCGAAGGGTTCCTCTGGTTCCTTTCAAAGGGTGTGTGGTGTTTTGGATGCCTTACCCAATGCGCATGGCAAACATGGGATTAACCAATCATGGGCACCGGCGTATGCTAACGGATCTTCAGGGTCCTTCTGAGGCTTTGTGCTGCTGCCCGACAATCGCGCGGGGGAAACCACTCTCCCATGGACACCAATGCACTCAGGGGAGCCAAAGGCCGTTTCGACTTTGACACTGTATCCAGAGGGCACAGTTAAGTCACGGTTCAGGAAATCCATAGCGCCCTGGATGCCGCCCTGTTCAGGTTCGGTATGGGGCCCAAGTTTGGGAAAGGCCAAATGTGAAATTGTGAGAGGTTGAAGTGCGTAGGACCGATAACGGCAGGCCAATCAAGTACGTGTATGTATATGGGCGTATCCAGCGGTATCCAAGATTTCGTCACAGTGGGAGGGGATGGTTGAGGTTCCCGTGGTGGCAGTGTTCGCCGACCTCCACCATATCCTACCAGCCGGATCTGGTTCCTGGCCAGCCAATGTCAGCCAGAACGGACCAAAGGGGACCTGAAGATGCAAGCCTCGTGCGAGACATGTTGGCAGGGCCCCGTCTGGCAA